ACGAGTTTTTAACGATTTTGACGGCACCAGACAGAAGGCGGCTCCATGGGGTCTATGATCTCATTGGTCCTAGGTTCGCATCCACCGAATCCAAATTGCCGAAAGGGAACGACTCTGTTTACTCGCATTACTCCCGAAATGCAACCGTACCCCTAAATTGCTAGCGATCGATGAATAACCACATAAATGTAAAAATAAAGCCCTTAACCTAATAAATAAGCGAGCGAGCCAGCCTGTACAAATCGTTGTTTGCATTTCGTCGACGCATTTCGAGAAAAAATAATATCAATACTTATGCACAGTATGTATAAGTATAAGGAAATGAATAATATAGAATGCGGTGAGTGGTAAAGAGAAGTTTGGAACGCTGAGTTTTGATATTTCTAAAAATAGTTCGGTAATCCAATGTCGATCAGAAAATCGTAGTTGAATTAGAAATACATAGGTAATATAAAATGTATATCGATGTATCCGTTCGGCATTGACATAGAAATTTATAACACGAACCGAAAGCATCGGCAAAGCGGCGAAAAAAAAATAGGGAAACCGAACGGACGAAATAGGATTCGTGCGATTCCCCGGAATCTTTTGGCAAAAAAAGTAATTGGTAAAACACGCCGCAGCCTTAATTAATTCGTATTTAGAAATAGTTGTATATTGCATCATTCGGGAAGCTATTTTTAAATGCGGCATTTCATTTCCAGCCAATGGATACCACTTTTAAATAGGATGGGTGTAGGAAACACCTAAGCTAATTCCAGAAATATATCTGTGCGATGCGTGCCGAAGAAGGAACCAACAAAAGGAGAAAAGCGAATAAAAGAGCGATTCCGTTCAACAATGTATATCCACTAAACATCCGATATTTGGTTTAAACAAAGTTCAAAAGGATCGATCGATCAATCTGCCTATGTAAATCGTAACATTTCTAATATTTAATTCGAAATTGAGACAGTGGCCTATGATTTATGACGTGCTATGCGGTACGCCTTCCATTCTTTAGGCCTTTCATCTTACAAATATTTACCGACAATATTCTATAAAAAGAACTCACTTTCTGTGGTGTGGTCATCCACTCGCACTTGACTTGACTTGACATTCGTCAAAATAAATATTTTCCTTGCTTGCAAAATCTTGGAATTGCATCCAAAACAACTTGAAGAAGTATAAATAATTTATTTATTTGTTTATTTACGGCTGCGTATGTATTTTTCGCTTTCGAAAATTGAGTTTAAAAAACGCGTGAAAATAAAATAAAACCGCTTTCAACGCAAACCACTCAATTTCGATAATTGGCACCTGTCAAAACATTGCCGAAAGACGCAATAATTATAGACATAATTAAGTGCTTATTTTAAAATATTCAAGATTTATTTTTACTTGTAATTAAAGTATAATGTCAATAATCAATACGGAATACAATGTAATACCACTACTATGCAAATATTATTTCAAACAGGTTCTTTTATTCGATATTTAAGGCTACAATTTAATCGACTATGTATGTAAATTTTTGAAATTACTATACTAGAATTTCAATGAAATCTACATACATTATGTATAAGATGATTACATTTCATATCGTAAGCAAAATTGTGTTTGTATAACATCCAATAAGAATAGTGTTTAGAATGTAGGTCACATTTTAGATATAATACCACACCAAGAAGCTTCACTTCATATTTCTAAATCTTAATTATTAATATATCACTTTATTATATTATCACAATATTTATTAACAGAACTTCTGTGTATTATAAACATATACCGTATGATCCTATAGATGTAAAAAAAAAACATAGTTTGCAATTAATATTTCGTATATAACACTAAAACATACTTTTATAATAATAATAATTATTATTATGGGCCTATGGTCAATATCCCTTTTATTTTGTAATTTATTGCTGCAATAAATATTATTAACATTATTATTATAATAATAAAATAATGACAGGAATTAAGTTTCAAGTGAGTTTATAATTATTGGGATTAGTTCTTCAATAACTTAAAATAATAATTAAAATATTTCTTATCAAGTAGCCATTATGAATCAAAATATAATTATTCATCTTTTAGAATGTCCTGGTACTGTGCAAATCTTCTATAGTCGTTTTAATTTAAATAAATGTATTTCTGAAGCAAGTAAATATTTTGTTTAATTTTTAGCGTAGTGTCCTATACGTAAGTTGTTTTATAAATTTATATTTGAATTAAGTCAATGCTATATTTCTATTGAATAAAAAAATGTTATGCTGGATTTATAACAAGAAATTGCACCATTAAAAAAAATGTACGTATTACTGTTTTACCCTTATGGTACATACCTTTTTTGAGAACTGTTGTAATACAAAAATGTTCCCTCGCATCTTCTATTCCGTTAAACCCGACAATTACTTTGCTCCTCTTGAGCGTTATTTTCCTCTATTTCATGTATTCTCTTCCTTTTACGTAAGTAAATTACGTTTTAAACTCACGCACTCACGCATTCAGAGAGACAACCACCCGCACCTGTCCACACGCACAAAAAGATTTCATGCGGAATCCTGCATGAATCCGCGCTCCGCTGTAATTTTCTGATGCTTACACGATGGAGACGCGACGAGAACTGAAACTACCCGAACGCATCCATCAATGAATTACATTTTTTTTTCTTTCTTTTTAAACTTCTAAAGTTTCGTAAATAATAGAACCGTATTAGTAACATAAATCTCCTTGGATTGTATAAACGTATTAATTTGCAAATAAAAAATTGTTTTATACATCCGCTAAATGTTAATAGCATTAAGGTAATGAACGAAATAAAGCTATTTTCCGTTGCGTGTAAATTGTTAATTTATACTATTTTTAGAAAGAATAATTGTATTTAGGCTCTGCTCCCACGTATTCACGAATATCAATACCAAATTATAAAACTACCACATAGCAAAACTATTATTTATATATTACAAGTTCCACAGATTCATGCAAATTTATTATTGTCTATTATAAAATTGTAGTTACCCGGCGCATTCGCCTTCAATGCAATTCATTGTATATACTACATAGTACGGTGATTTTCAATACACTAGAATATCATGAGAGGATGTTGAGTATGCCGCAAAAATTTGTACATGTCAAAATTAAAACATCACGATAATTTAAGTGGTCCGCAGAAGTTTAACTTAAGTCTCAAGTGTGCCTCGAGACAAAAAAAAAATTAAAGAACACTGATCTATCAGATTATTTTGATCACAATTGAGATACATCAGCCAATTTATCCATTTAAATTATTTCAAATCTTCAATATTATATTATATTATATATAATGAGTATTGACATTGCTTAACTTTCGTAAAATACACACCATTATATAATTATTATAAGAAAATAATATTTAAACTACATTCATTCTCAAAAGCCGGGATTTCGTTTGAACAATTATTTTAATTTTATGTTACATATAAAATATTGCGTTTAATTTGTGTGTTATTTTATATGTGAAACTAAACCTGAACTCAATTTAAATTGAATTGTCTACTAGATAATAACAATTGGCGTTATTAAAATTACACAACGCAAATATATTTGAATCGATCTTTGATGTTTTTATTTATATAAATGTAAATATACATAAAATATGTTTATAGTAGAATAATGTACATGTTTGTATCTGCAACGAAATAATTTACATTAAACTTCTGTAAAATTAATACTGATATGTCTAAATAATATAATTAAATTAGGAATAATTTTGTGCACTATTTTTTTAGAATTTATTTTTATTCTTCTGAATTAAAATTTAGTTTGTTTTGAAACCCGGACTGATCGAAGCGGCACTACGCGAAGTATTTCTGTATAAGAAAAGTGTGTTAGTTATTAATAGATATCCTAACTTTTGAATGTGAATCACTATTGGTTGATTAACAGTCGCATCAATTGATGCGTACACAAAGAATGATATATTTGATGAGTGACATTTACATGAATCATGGATGCTCAACGATAACAGGGAGTATTAGACAAATGATGTATGGAAGGTTATGAGCGAGCGCAAGGAATGTATAATTGTAGGCACATATATGTATTGTTGATGTGGCTGCTGTAGGGTTGTAACAAGAGTTGTCTTGATAACGACTACTTAAAGCAGACAATTTTAAATATATTAGTTTATAAATAATATGTTTGTCTATCAAATTTCAAAAAAAATCAACGCAATGTTGTTTTTAATTCCTGCTATTTAAGGTAATGAATAGAATTACTTTATTATATTTGCAAAAACTTACCTATATTATATAATTAAGTTTTACAACTATTTTTTGTTACTTTATTTAATGTGTAGAAAATTTATTTTATTATACTTATCTATAATGACATACACTAATTATAATTTTTATTTATAAATAACATGTATTATAAATATGTAACAATTGTTGCAATTACCAACTTAAATATATTATTGATTGTTAATATAATAAACCGTTATAATAATAATGTTTATTGTAATAGTTATAACGTATAGAAAAATATACAAAAAATAATTTCAGTACAATTGATTAACCATTTTATATTTTTAAGTTGAATTATACATTTTAATATAAAATAATGATAATAACATAAAATTCTTATAATACAGTTAAATTAAATAAAAAACGAAATACAAATAATTTTGTTATTCATTATGAAATTTATGCGAAACTAAGCAATAAAGCAAACGATATTAAAACTTTATGTTGCTGGTTTTTATAAAATACAGTGAGAGGTGAATGTAAGATGTCTTGATTAAAAAGTTAAGACATTTTTGAGGTTTTAATTAAAATATTTGTTGGCCAGCAGGGTTTATATTTAGTTGCCGGCTGATTTATTAATAAACTTGAAGAAAATATGTATACGTACTCGGGGTATAACGTACAGAAAGTACGGTCGCTTTCACGAATACGCACGTATCCATCATACATACAAACATAGTGAGAAACACGTATTTATGGATTTTCGCTCCCCGTTTTAATTAGTAAATTTACCTTATAAACTTGGTGCCCTTTTGTTCGCCTAAACCAATTGCTATCTGTTCAGCTGGATTTAATGCACATTTCAAATTACAGTGATCCAGAGATTCTTCGCACGCAACAAGATTTACTGCCGGCTTTTCGAGCGCCGCCGCCTCCGCCCGTGCGAAACTTTTAATCTAATGAACGGTTGCCGCTCGCACGCATTATTTTCAACGTATTATTAATATTAATTTCGACTAATAGCTTTTTCGCGCTTTCCTCTTCAGTCTCGGATACTCTGCAGTAATAAATAATGCGTACTTTTTTAGTATTTAAATTCAATCTTCGTTTTCTTCGTTTTGGGGGGATGCAGTTGGAGACGGCAACACTCGCGCACTCCGATCTCGCAACAACCACCTATCTTTCCTCACAGCACAGGCACCACTTTTATCATCCTAATAAATGGAGATCTTTATTCGGTTTTCTCCTGTCTTCGATACAGGCGGCGGCTCTACGGAGGCAGAAAGTCGATGGACTGTGTTTATCTGTCTTTGTCTCTGACTCGACCGACGGCCGTCGCTACACTGAGACCATACTCGCAACGGGGGGCGGTTGGACACAGTTTGGGCCCAACCCCGCCTCCACCAACGACGACGCCGCCGTCGCCTCCGCCGACACGGCCATACATTCACGTACATACCACGCGCACCTAAACCTAGTTCTACCCAGTTTACAGCCGCGCCGGTATATTGAACAATGCGTGCATACCCATTTAATAATCCTAATTAAATTAATAAATATCATTATACAGTCCTCATTAAAATCAAAAATCGATTTTTACTTTAATAATTGAGCCGTTATTTTGCAGTCCATTTTTTTTTAATATTTAATATTTATAATTATACATTGAATGGAGCACGATTTCTTGATAAACTAATCAAAAGAATTTTAATATAATAATATTTATTAGTTACAATGCAACCAAAGAGTTATCGACCTAATTTTACCGCCATAATTTTACTATATAATGTTATGGCAAAAATATTATTTTAAAAAGTGGATCAAGTCCATTTCTAATAATATTAATAGTTAAGAAACAACTTTCTAATTGCAATTTTTACTGATTATTAGGACTTCAGTGCACCCTTTTAGCAGATAGTTGCTAAACATCGTAAACAAGAGTGGTAAAAAATAATAATATTTAAAAAATTTAAAATGGCTGAAGATATGTATTTTTTATTTGGAAAACAAGTAAGACCCATTGTATGATTATAAATATAAAAAGAGATTATCTATATCAATGATTCACAAAGAGGGGGTCGCGAAAAATATTTGGAGGATGTTTGAGAAGAAAGAAGTTTGAGAAACGTTATATCTTACTAAAATTACCAATAAAAATACGGCTCATATGTTGTTATAAAAAGTGGTATAAGTCCATTTAGGACTAAAAGACGATTATTTTCTTTAAAAATTTTAATAATTATTATTATATAATGATTTAACAGTTTTCTATTGTAAAAAACATTACACGAATTGATTAACAATATTTCTTTAATCGATACAAACTTATACGCTTAAATATTAATATATGAAAAATGGACCACTTTTAAAAAATAACTAAATAAATTGAAATCTCTATTCCAATATGTAATGGTACATTTTTATATGTTATAAAAAGAGATTTTTACACTTAAATTAATTCAACTATTCCACTGTATAATATTTAAAAAATATTAGGATTTTTTAAAGATGTGATTAAACCAATGATCAGTATTTCAGTTAAATATGTATTTTATAACTTTCAAAAGGTACTAGCTCCTTACAGACTTCATTCATTCACATGGACAGCGCACCTAACTTTTCTAATATTCTCAGTCTTATCTACAATAAAATGATATTCTAATTAACATACTCTTGGAATTTATTAGGAATTACAAAATTTAAGTGAAACATTATCAACTACTGGGATAAGTAAAATATGAATTGAAAGGAATCAAATTAAAATAGCAAATATTTCTTTTTAGATAGAATATTAATATACTTTTTGTATGAATTCGAGAAAAAAAAACAAATTGAGAATATTAATTAATTAATACATTTTCTTGAGAAAATACCTCATCAATGATATGAATAGAACTATATCTATCATTGCTTACGAGTGATAAAAAAGCATAACATGAATATATCAATAAAAATGAATTGAATACAGAAACTGAACAATGTTCAATTGCCTATGAAAAATTATCAAAGCTCGTTGGCGCAACGCCAAGAAAATATTCCAACCCTATTTATAAATGGATACGGCTGAAGAAGGCATCACCATATTTGGCAGCAGATATCGTAGCAATACTGTTCACACATTTAATGTATGCATCTTTATTATAAAGTCCAGATATATATTATATTGAAATATAGATTTTCCAAATTACAACTAATTTCAGCTGAAAACAGCTGACGGGACGGATATTTTTAATGAATATTGAATACTTACTTTTTATTTCTCAAACTTGTATTTTTTGATGTTTATATCAACAAATAAACCGTTATTTTTTTAATTAATTTACAAATATTGGCGTTAACCAATTAGGGTTTTAACACTATAAACCTGTTAAATTTTATTATGCAAATTCTTTTGATTACTTTATTAAGAAATCTTGCTCCATTGAATGTTTAAGCTATAAAAAGAGGATATCTATAACTTACTAAAATTACCATTAACTATTTTTTTCTTCAAAAGTTGACTTATACCACTTTCAAAAAAACGTCTCCATTTGAACTGTATTCGTGGGCCGGATGATTTTACGTTTATATTTTATAGAAGCATAATTTGATGATTCTGATTCCAAAGACAATTTTAGATTATTGTTTCGAAAACATTAATTATTTGTACTTGATTTGGAGATCAGAAAATAATTTTAATATTATTTACTTAATTATTTAGTTAAAAAATAATAAATTACATTACAACTTATATCCTTATAAGCTTTGTATACTAACGAAAAGATGACTCTCAATGCGCACTATCTAAATTGTGTCCTAATCGACAGATTTCACTTTGGAAAATGTTTATTTATTTCCTGCGTTTATTTATTAAGCTTTGTTATTAAGCTTAATAAATTTAATTTATATACTGAACAATTTTCACTTCATAACATCATATTTTGTTCTACTTCATTGTTGCGTCAAAGAAAATAAAGTATTTAGCAGGGAAACCTACCCCTGTGTTTACATTCCTGTAAAATCGAACATCAAGCGATAGAAAATTTTACAAATTTGCTAAAGATACAAGGTATACACAAACGCATACTGACGATCACTAAGCTTTTTCTATTAACAAAAAGACATTAAATACGCATCCCACCAGAGATGTAAACCACTATCTAAATTATATGTTAATCGACAGATAGCACTTTCTGAAAAGTTTATTTATTAATTTTAATTGTTATTGTGTGGCGATACTCGCCTGTATCACGAAAATCCGATACGAAAAAGTTGGTTCCAACCCAAAATCAACAAAAATGTATTAATGACGATAAACCCAAAAGGGGTAGAAATAGGGCATAAGAGATTTATAACAATAATATTTGATACAAATCTCTTTATAATTAGCGGCTCAATATGTTTACTTGTGGTTAACTGAATAAAAATAGCTCTTTCCAAATTTTATTATTATATTTACCAGACGTTATGGTTCAAAATATTTATTGTACTATATTTTTTTAATTTCAACATTATCCGACATGTTTGAGAATCTTTATTTTTGAAATTTAGTTATTCAGGTCAATAGCTCTTCGTAACAGTTATTTTATAAATTTTATTTTTATTTATTGCATTTAATTGAAAATAGAAAATTCCGAGAAATAGTAATATTAATATTGTCTTGTCTACATTTTTTAGATTGCCCTATTATATACACGACATTATCATTGGAATAGAAGTATCTCTAAATTAAATTTTCAAATGTTCCTCATATTAACAAATATAATTATTTTTTAAACAGATTTAAGAAACCGGATGCGACGCTAAACTTGTAGTGATCGCGAGTCGTCCTACATATTCAGTTTTCTTTCTCTGCCCATCTGACGTAACATTGCCATGGCTACTGTCATATCTTGCATAACGTGTCGCATGCATTGTATTAACCCACCCCGCTTTTCCTTCACAATTCTCTATGACCGTGGATATCCCGAATTTAATTATTCTTTTAATTAAAATCAGATGTACTTAGTTCGCATTTGATATATTCATAACTTGCCTTATTGTATTAAACCAAAACGCATATATTTTAACAAAACAAAGAAGGTAGTCGTTTATGTACTGCGACTATAATTGCAGATATAAAATAATAAGAATTAAACGAAAAAAAAGTAGTTTCACTATTTAGTAATTACAAAATGAAAAGGGAATGACCACTGAGGACAAAAATTAAAGTTTTGCAGTGATCCACAAAATTAAACGGGTCTATTCAATTTAAGCTTTTCTCTGATAGGCAAGAAAAATTCTTATGTGAATATAATTGATGCAATTTTCTTTTGTAGCTCGACGGAAGGGTTCACTACGGCCGTATAACTGAGAATGCTGGCGGAGTCGCAAGAAATATGAGCGAAGCCCTGAATAAGCTAAGAAGCCACAGACCGGTGGCTTTCATTTCCGCCATCGGTGATGATTCGAGTGGAAGTTTAGTAGCACAATCGTTAGGCCCCCACGTTGAGCACCTAGAGAGAGTGCGAGGCTCGAGGACGGCTCAATGCATGGTCGTGCTAGACAGCGACGGCGAATGCAAGTTCCTCGTCGGCGATATGGATGTGCACGCCCGCATCACGCCGGAAATGGTTAATGCGAAGGCCGACCTCATCGCCGATTCCAAGCTAATAGTATTAGACGGTAATCCCAGTCTAGATACTATGGAAACCATTCTGGAATTGGCCCACAAAAATGATATTTCAGGTAAGACACGCTGTTCAAAGAACGTGGAATGTCCCTCTTATTTTAAATAATTTTAAAGAGACATTATGTGCAACCGCACGTTGCACTTATCTTCGCTCATAGGACTCATGCAGTTAATTTACTTGCTTTTGTTACAAATGTCATATACATATACAGTGGAACCTAGCTTAACGAGCATTTCTCTTAAAGAGCAAAATGAATTGTAAGAAAAATTAACGAGCGATATTTCGCATAACGAGTGACGGGGAGAAGAGAAATCTCGGATTGTATGCCTGCTACATCTTTTTCTACAATTGTTTCACTATACGAGTAAAAATCCAAAAAAATTGGAACGGATTATACTAGTTAAGCGAGGTTCCACTGTATATCTTTTATTTTTTTCATAAATATAAATAATAAAAATAAAAAAAAGTAATAATCTTAAGAGTATACTATATCTAAATCAAGCTGTGAAATAATGGTATTCAGTAGCAAGTCATTCTTTAAAATTAAATTTTTAAATGTTGACTTATTATAAAGATTTCCACCGAAGGAATGTACTGATGTGCTTAGAACCTACCTATAAAAATAATACGAGAAAAATAGTTATTAAACATTTATTATATAAATATGAATGGATAAACAAATATAAATATGCTTAATTATAGAAATATAATATACACAATATTTATAAAAAAATAATAGTTAAATATAATTAAATATTTAAAGTTAATTTATTAAAACACGAATTGCTATTACGACATTTTGAATTGCATAAAATCAATGAAGCTTTGCATTTACATTTTGAAAAGCGTACAAGAATTTAAGTGGTTATTGTCCCATAATTTCACGGCCCCCAAAAATTGTTGTCAACAGCTCCCCAACCCCGGTGTTCACAATGTTTTCGTGATCTCAACAAAAGCTTCCTCCCTCTCTCGCAATTTCCCAAACATTTATTTTTTTAAATTAATACCAATAAATTATCTATAATCATTTGCATCTTCATAAACCTATGACAAAAAATGGATTGAATCAAATAAGAATATATATTATTTAGCAGAGATATTTTCTTTATTTCAAATTAATATATATCACCGAATCGAAAATTCGAAGATTATTGTTAAATAATTTTACTCTTGATTATTAGCATTAGAAAACGATTTAAAAAAAAAACAAGGGGGTCGATATAAAAAAAGGTTGTGAACTTATTATATTGAATATAGCTTTCTTTTGACTCTTACTTTTTGTTTTAATTTTTCTACTGTTTGAAATGTTATGCAAGAACCTTTAATTTCTATAACTACATCAATTTTGTATGATCGTGAATGAAGGTGTCCAAATGCTAACGCAGTTTTTAAATTTTCAAATTTTAGTGGCTAATATAAATAAAATATCTGTGCTACGAATCCAAATGTTTTAATTTAATAAAAACCATGGCAATAATTCACATGCCTAAAAAAGTTTCTTTCCGAAATATTAATATATTTCTTATCATTGTTTGATTCTTACGATTTTTTCTGGATCTGACAAACGGATTATAATTAAAGACTGGTGAGATCCAGGAAAAGAACACAAATGTACATAATAATGGGATCATGTTTCTTCCAGTATTTTCAAGGTTCATTTGATACATTTTTTTGCACTATGTTGGTTGGTTTTTAGAAACTACTGTATCTTCTTTTGTGCAATTGCATTGCTTCTATTTTTAAATATGCTGTTATGCTTATATTTTTTACTTAAGTCAAATGCATTTTAATAATGATAATTATATATTAGGGCAGATAAAATATTAAATATAAAGTTGTAGATACTTTTCATTTATGTGTCACATTACTATCACGTTGTCATTAAATACACTTTGAAAAATAAAAATAATAGTATATACAGCATATCTATATTTTCCATTTACGAATTACGATATCGAATTTCCTATACAGAGTACATTAGTTTGTGTCGAACAGACATAGTTTCGCCAGTCTCTGTATTTATACGAAGTGTTCCATAAAACAACTCGATCTGGTGCTTCTAAGAATCTGATGACAACGAAGCGGAGGAACCTAGTGAATTGATATGGTACATTTAAACTATATCGAACATTTGTTATTACTTACGAATTTGCCCATGTATTTCTACGTTAACATGGTTCAATAGATATTGGAAGTTGTATGTTCAGATTGATTATTATGTGATACAATTTCAGTTTTCGCTGAATTGTTTGAACATTGAAATAAGATCTGATTTCCCATCATAAGATGATATATTTAATCTATACAAAAAAATAATTATCTATAAACTTCGATATCAACACCATTGTTGAAAAATATGTGACGAATGTAAAAATATTAAATGAAACAAATCTTAAAAATATTTTATATTTATATGTGTCAAACTCATACTACAGACAAGGCATAGTATTATTGTTGTATACAAAAATAAAGCTTATAATATAATTGGACGGACTATACCTATAAGAATATGTTACTTCATTTCGATTTTCTGAATTGAAATTCCAATAGGTATGATTTGTACAAGAACAATTTCAAGGCACTATCTGTGTGTATATAAAATTATTGAGAACTTACATTTAAATATTTCAATTGTGCATATTGACAATTAAAACAGCATAAACAAATTGGTGCGTATTATAGAAACAAATTATCGCGAATTGATTATCATACTATTCCATTCAATATATTTCATTGAATGTACATTTTATATTTGATAATAAAAAGATGTGACTTTTTAATATCAAATATCCCAATTTAAATTTAATATATATAATTTTTTAATATTAAATATTTTGTTTTTCATATTATAAGATATATATATAATATAATGAGATATTATAATAGTAAATATGATTTGCATAAATCCTTAATTTAGGATTAATGTTAAATTAAGTAATTCCTGCATTATTAATGTATGCTTTAGGAATTAATATAATGACCACCAACAGTTGAATGTTAATTTAGTGTTTTTGAACTTAGAATAGTATGACAATTAGCTTGCAATAAAATATTTGATATAGTTATCACCAATGTGTATGGTGTGGTTGGTGTTGGTGGTGTTGCATCTGCATAATAAGATTCTTGGACTCCCTTCTCAGCTCATAACTTTGTTTAGCTTCCTTCCAAAGAACCATTGCAGCAAACATATGAAAGAAGAATGATAAGATAGCCACACCATAGGACCAGCTCAGATAATTGTAATTGGGATACAATAACCAATCACGGCGAGCATGTGATGTTCCAAAGATTAATACAGCCAAAAACATGAAAATTGCTAAAAAAAATAATAATAAATCAGTATTAAATAATATATTAATAAACTAATCTAAATATTACCTGATAAACTATTGCAAATAAAATCAATTCCAGATAGAATATATTCATAACGAAGGACAAAATTTAAAGGCCATCTGCACAACTGCAATGCTTGCAATACTTGTGCAGTTGCACTCAGCAGGAAAGAAATTGTCACAAAAGCCTGTACGGACATCAACCAAGATGGCACAAGCCACTCTCGGATAACATAATACTCTTGGCTAAAAACATGATGGCATCCAGTGAACAACTTGTCAAACTGGTAGTGTGGATAGCGGAAATTATCAAAGCAATACTCCCATAGACCCATGTTCAGAAATTCGTTTACAGTGTTTTCAAATGATTGGACCCAGTATGGGGAGCAGAAAGCTATGAGCAGCAAAAAGAACGCAATATACGATAATAGGGCGCCATAATAAAGATATCCTACAATTAAACAATTATTATTTCTATTATAATACAATTAATGGATGGTGTTCACCTGAAGCTTTTGGATATTCGTTCTTTTCCACTCCCATTCTGGTTCAGTTGATCGCAGTTTCGTAAAAATATATAATCCTCAACTTTTACCAACCTACTTAATAATCTTAACAAATAAACAACAGGTGAATGAGTAACAATGAAGAATGTCAAACGCATGCAGACACACCTACCAAACACAAGAAGTACCAACTTGTGTCACCCAAAAGATCGTGTCGTTACAGTCGCTACCTAATGCATTTTAAATAACATTTTAATACATTAAAATGGTTTTAATGTAATTACATTTCATAAATTACAAAATGGTGAATTAAAAAATATGCAATGAATTAGGCAACTAAAGAATCGATTAATACTATATAAAAGTGACTACTTCTCTATTACGCTATATTTAAACAAAATCCAATATATTTAACCATGTTAGTTTAATTAAAAGTTATATGATTATTTGGTTAAAAATAAGCATTTAATGCATTTGAATAAAAATTAATTGAAATTATATGAAGTGTCTCATATAAATATAATCTTCGTAAGTTTAAGTTGTGTCAAAGTAATTGCTTCTAGTAATTCATAAATATTACAAGCTAGTTAAAAGCAAAATTAATTGTAAGAAAAATGTCTCGCTTGACGAGCGACGTTTTACATAACGAGTGACGATGAGAAGAAAAGTTCCGGATTTATTCGTCTGTTACATCATTTTTAAAACTTGTTTCCAAACTTGTATTCAGACATGTTATTTGTGTCTTTTGTGCAAAATTTAATAACACTTGCATGTATCCGAATATAAAGCCAAATAATTAAAGAAACCATAGATATGAAAAGCAAAATTATTAAAAACCAAGTTATACATTTTGTTTCCGACAAGGAACGCATTATCGTAATTTACATTAGTTTATATGGGAAAACGTGTTAAACTCGTTAAGCGAGGTTACATATATATTTATATTGATTTAATCTCAATTATAAATATTATTTTATATTAATTTTATTATAATATATTAATTTTATATAAACAAAACATATGAAATATTCTATTAATTAGAAATATATTGAGTCATCGTTACACGTAATCTAAAGTCGAACAACTTACGTCAGCATGTATATATTTCTTTCCCATAATATTGTACTGAAATTAAAGAGATATTGCAAATAATTTTAGCCTTGCCGCTAAAACATTATTATTTACATTCCATTCTTCAAACCTGCGAATGGTAAACTTTATTTTTTATTACGAAAATAGAACACAATATATAGATACTTAAATATACATTATGAAAGTACTTAAGCCACTAAGCTATTAGTCTAAGTATGTATTTAAAAACAAATCCTTTGGTAACAATCAGTTTATTATACAGTAGAATGGACGGAATCGGGATACATGAATAAGTGTGTTTCTGTTGTAATTTTTAAAAATTATGTTTTAGTATCTTCAAACTCGAATCTGCTTTGTGATTCTTTGAAATAATTTTCTTTCCGCCTGTAAATATCCGCGTCGACGAAGAACAGCACAGCAGCGATGATGCATGTAGCGGAGCCGATGCACGCCAGAATGAAGGACCATCCGAAGAAGTTATTGTCGTGTCCGGGCATCCAATTGTTTCGATTTCCCAAACTGGCGAAAATAATGACGGCTATGCTTCCGCAGATGCCACCAACCATGAGAACGCAAGCGATAATTTTAACCAACTCTATAAACCTAAAGTGCATTTTTATTAGAAGTGTACATTGAATACGAGCATTTGAATACAAACCGTTTTTGATCTGGGCGACAGCAAAGGAAATATATTAGGGATAGTATAGTTGAGATGAGAACGGATATAAAGCAGAGGGTGTAGAAGAACTGAGTAGCCTTCATAAAACCGGGAACCAGAAAACCGCGAATCTCATCGTATCCGGATGTGAAGGGGTCGTAGATCCATCTGCATCCGACGAAGAAACGGTGGGCGTTTAGCGAATTCGGAGAGTTAGGATCAGGCAGCGACCGGAAGCAATGGGTCCAGAGACCCAATCTATTTAATCGCGCCCCATTTATCCGCGGATCAGATACCAGCCAACTGGGGGTACTGAATGATACTGCTACCAGTACAAGAGTCACCACGAAAAATCCCAGTCCAACATTTCCAGCCAAAGAACGTTTTTTCATCTGAAAAAATAAAATTTCGATTACTTAAATATTTTTTTCTCTTTAAAATAACATAAGCTAAGCGATTATTTTATTTACATTTCGAAAACTAATTTGGATTCTACCAATTTTATATATATATATATATTGCCATATTAATATCAATTACTTATAACGACCAAGCCAGGTTAAAAAAACAAATTACAAACTTGTTATGTGAGTCGTTGTATTTATGAATGTTTACCATTATTGCGCTTCAGTCGCGATGATGCATCAGAGATTACTCAACATCAATTGCTTTTAATTTCTCATATATTGCCATAATTAAATTCATCGTACCAAATTCCCGTAAAGACATTTACCTCGAGCTTTTATCGCAAGAACTTGTTTTTATTTATCAAGTAGGACAACCAAGCATTTTTCAATTGGCGTTGCCCATTGTTTTGACTGCTTGTGTGTATGGGTGCGCGTGGTGTGAATGCACTCACCTTCTTAGTTTTCTTTTCGATCACAAACTGCAAACGTTCGTGCAGAATTGAGGATGCGATTTCACTAAATGTTTACTTTATTATGGACAATTGTGTGCCATATGAAAAGATTGCACTTTATTACTGAATCTTAGATTTCTATAGACGTGTATTCGTATACCATAAGATCGACCACACCTGCATGTATGACTGTTATGGTCGGAGCTTCAGTACACATTGTACAGGTAGGAAGGGGACGGTCAAGAGGGGGAACCAGTTTCTGTATACTAGAGAGCTGACCAGCCAATGGAAAACGAATTCCACCCACAATGTTCCATGAGCGGACAAAAAGAAAACGATATCAATATTATTCACCAGCTCCAAAATGCGGTAGATTCCTATGTTTCTTAAAAATATAATTTTGTAATTATTGAAATTTGTTATATTTAACTTCTAAACTTGAAAAAATGATTGAGAACAATAGGATTTCATAATGGTTCAAACTATAAACAATCTGAGAAATAATGTACAAAAACATGAAGGAATTTTTATATTCGGTTGGCGCATTTATTAGTCGTTTTTTTAAACAATATTTATTATGAAAAAAGAAAAATAAAAATTTCTACAATAATATTTTTAATGATTCCAGAGCTTAGTCACTATCACCAATTGAGAAGCAGTTATTGAAGTAGTAACTGCTTCCCATTTGCAAATAATATTTTTATTAAAAAAAAGTAAACAAAACAGCACATTTTATTAACAAAATATCTGCCTACAGAAACTTCTGATAAGACTTTCCTTAATATTCTAGCATGGTTTCTAGGAAGAAAATCTACGTATTATAGTTTAAATCCTAGTATCGATTGCAATGACACACAAGCAATCACAAAGTTCGAGGGTCGAATAGTTTTAAAAAATACTATAAAGAATATTTTTCCTGTGAAATAGCTGTTTTATTTTATGATAGACTTAAAAAGAATATAGTTCTTCAATTCGTATATAAATGATAATAATGATATTTATATTAAAATTAGTAAAGTAAAACTTATTGTTTATTTTAGCGGTATAAATAAATACATGAAAGGTACTTTTTCCGATTTTTATTCTCGGAAAATGGGAAATTTAAAAAAGTTAAATTAGAGTGAAAATTCATAAAAAAAGGCAAAGTAATGTTTACGGATTAAACTTGTTTATCGAGGTTCCACTGTATTAAAATAAAATGCAATCAACCCTTTTTCGAAAATAAATAAATTCAAAACTGTGAAAATAAAATAGATTAAACTAATGTAATGATTGTGAACATTGAAATGAAAATAAATAGTGGACTTAATATCCTTTATAAAATTGAAAACATATTTCACTTTGAATTGATTGTTTAGTAAAAATTATGTACACATTAGTAAATAAAATATTGTCGTAATTGTAAAATACATAACGGATTTAAATTTCCGATTTAGTAAGGCGCAGTAGTATAGCGAGCTTTTCTAAAAAAAATAATATGCCCAAGTAACTCAACAAATTATTCTGTAATGTCATAATTGTTTTTATAATTCAATACAATTTAACTTTGGGAATGATTCCACACTACAATGTACTGCAATAAATTATCAAAAATGAATTGTTTTAAAGATAACATTCATTAATTTAACTCAAATATTAGAAAGTAGACTAAACGGTTGTAGTTTGTGTACTATATAATTAGGTGACAATTATGATAATAACAAATGATCATATTGAATCTACAAAATAACTAGTTAGATATGTGAATTACTGAAAATTAATGATTTAATGTATATATTTATATATAATAAACAAATTAGTCTATTGCTTACTTTAAAATAAACGATTCCATCTTTTTAGTAAAGTAGTCAATATTCTAAATTAAAAAGAAATATCATAAACATTTTTATAATTACAAAAATGATCTTAAAGTTACTTTATCTAATTCCTTTTAAATTGGTATATTCATATTTAATACAATTTTTATGAGATATTTTCTTCAGATTGTAAAGAAAACATAAATATTTTAATTTTATATTAGTTTAGCTTGTCGTTTGTATAAAATTATCATTTGCATAATATAAATTGAAGGAACACAAAAATAGCAGCATACATTTTAGGATTGCAGAAAAGTACCGTTTAAATTAATGAAGCGACCTTAAGTCGTACTTTTTCAATTAATTGCATGGGAACCAAGAAATCTCACGAATTGTTAACGTTCTCACATTTGTTGCAACATTTTTCACAATGATTTATAATATACTATCATGTCCCTACATTTTCTTAACCTTCGTACACCCACATCTCACTATTGCATAGTTTTCCTAATTACTAATCTCAATTTTCCCGTGTAATTTAGTTTTAATGATTAGGAGGCAAATAACTATATTTATTAGAAAGTTTGTTAATATTAAAATTTGTATTTGAAGATTGACGGATAGTCGTTAATAATAATATTAAAATATTGAATGTGTCCTTTAATGTTACACATAATAATGATATTGAGTAAGGAGATAATGCAATTAAATTGGACATAGTAATATTCTTGATTATTCGAATCTGCGTCAGTTATCGCGATCTGTAGGACACATCGAATGCTATTGCATTTTGTCTTATTAGTATACGAGATTTTAAACAACTTGTAAACTAAGTATTTCAAATATTGTATGTATACAGTTTACAAAGTCTAATTGTAATAAACAATATTTGGCTGTTAATAATAATTTGTTATGAACACTTATATTAATACAATTATGTAATTTCAGAAGAGTTTAATTATCATTTGTTCTATATTTACTTATTACATTAAATATGATAAGGAGTATAAAGTTAAGGAGATAAAAATACTTTTTGTAAAATAGATTTTAATACCAAGTCTATAAAAAAATATATAGCTTTTATATACAATATATATTTTTTAACAATTAAAAGTAAATTTGCTCTTTTGGAATTATTTAGTTTACCTTCATTATGCAATATATGAACAATATTTTGTATATAATAATATGAAACTTAACTAAGGAAATGTATAAATATATGTTTTATTTTGGACGGACCTGAAAATGTTTAACTTTCTTTGTACTTAAATATTTCAAGTTAAACTTAGAGTATGTACTAAGAATTTATTTTTATATGTCAGTATGTGAAGACTTCCGGACATCCATGTCATATTGGGAAGATGGTCGTGAAGCCTGCAATCTTCTATAGTTTGCTTTCCTAGCTTCAATTAAATATAAAGCTCCAGTTGGCAATAATAACAAAGAGCCAATACAAGCAAATGCAAAAGACCATCCCAGGTCATTGTGATCCCAGTTGGGCATCCAGTCTCTGCTATCTCCATAATTTCCAAATATTATAACAGCAATTAAGCCTGTAAAGCCAGCTGCTGCTTGGCAGACACCTAAACTGACCAAGAGTTTTATATATTTGTCATTATCACGACTACTGAAGCAGTATGTAAATGTGAGTAAAGCTCCAAATAGCACAAGTGTTGTTGAAACAGTGAAGAAAAATTGTGTGAGTAACAAGAAACTTGGCCATAGAAAATCTTGTATTATATAATATTCCTCTTCATATATCCACCAGCAACCAGTGAATTTGTAATCATAATGATGGTGGAAGTCCTCAAAATTATGGAAGCAAACTTCCCACAAACCTAAAACGAACGTTTGTTATTGTTATGATATCATCATTGGTGCCACGCCTTATAAGCAGTTTATTTATTGGTGGCGGGAGTAATGTACGTACCTAATCTGATAAATTGTGGATCTTGTAATTTGCCATCAGTAGCCAACCAATAAGGGGTGCAAAACGCGATGATTATAAAAATAAAACAAACAACGGTTCCGGCTATAGCACAATTACCTGTGCGACTTTTCGTGGCCATCTTTGACTCATAACTAAATGCTCAACGCACCTTAACACTTTCCCCACTACTCGGACTACGCTGACCTCTTCTAATTTCACTTTATAATTTTAAATTAATTGTTTCTTTTATTTTCAGTATTTTTCGAGCCTACGGACGTTCCTATCTGCCATAAACCTTTTCAATGCAGATATCGTTCCAGCATAAAGTACATTAGTCCTAATTTAAATGAATTAAAATGCATCGCAAAGAGCCTAAACATTCCAACCTCAGACAAAGATGTTATATACATTGCTGGACGAGTTGCAGAATATGTTAGCAATATTATAGTAACCATGGGTTCAGATGGTGTACTGATTGTACGACGAAATTCGGCAAAAAGCAAATTGCATAGTGAAGCAGACCAAGGACCCTTGCAAATTAGGCACTATCCAGCCTCGAAAGTTGAAAATTTAATAAATGTTAGTGGAGCTGGTGATTGCTTTGCTTCTGGAATAATTGCTGCTATGCTAGAAGGAATGAGCGAGGAAATTTGCGTATCAGTGGGATTTGAAAGTGCGAATAAAGCTTTGTATACCGACAAGACAGTTCCAGATTATTTCTTTAACCGTGAGGATGAGGCTTGGACTAAACCAGCTTACTATAAAATTATTAAATAATAATAGATATTTTAAAATATTTGTTCTCTAACATATGTGTAATTCAAAATAAAATGTTTTAAATTTTTTTTTTTGAAGTTGGTGTTCTTACTTTATTGACAGCCGTATTATAAGGATCTGTAAAGATCAGTGCTCAAGTGTCAAATAATTACTTATAAGTAGAATTTTATTAATTAAATAATGGCCAGGGCGTTGAAATTTGGAGCTCATCTGAAAGAGTTACGCATCCATTTGTGCCAAACGGGCGATGCTAGTATGGGCGTCAGGTAACTACTATACCGATTCATTATCGATTTGTTAGGTTATGTAATAAATATTTCAGGTCCTTCATTGAGAAATATTATGTGGACTTAAAAAGTGCAAATCCAAAATTTCCGATATTGATACGCGAATGTTCTGGTGTTCAACCAAGGCTGTGGGCCAGATATGGTATAAGAACCTTATTGTAATAATATAATGATATACAACAAAATATTTTCTAGAAATGGGCAAAGAAAACAGTGTCTCCTTGAGTAACTTGAAGCCAGAAGATGTCCTCAAACAAGTAGAAACTATTGCCAGGAAATAGATTTAAAAGCTTCATATCTGAAAGTAGATAATTTTCATTGTTGTTTTTTTTTCTTCTTAAAAACATTATGTACATAGGTAACAAATAAATAATTACATCTTAACCTGGTAGGTTTTACTTTCTAAAATATTATTCTACTATATATTACTTAAAAATATAATCATTTGATAGCTGGTAAGCCAAACAATTCTGGTTTTAAATCTGTCAAACTGGGTAGAATCAATGTTGCATGTTGACATTTTTCAGGAGATGTTTCTTTATCAGGTACCATTACACACTGCATTCCTGCAGACACAGCTGCTGTAACCCCATTTGGAGCATCTTCCAAAACAAGGCAGTCATAAGGTTTTGGCTTATCAGGGAATCTGCTAGCACAAACTAAAAATATGTCAGGACTTGGTTTGCCACTACCAACTTCTGGATCTGAACCCCCAGTTACAGTATGATGGAACAAATTAAAAAAATGTTTATGGTTCTGGGTTTTCAGGTCAAAACTTTCCTTGCAAGATGATGTAGCAACAGCAATTGGAATGTTGTTCTTATGAAGGTGTTTAACCAACTGCTCAGCACCTGAAAATAAATAGGATTTCAGTAGATCTTTTCATGTATGATTTGATCAGTACCTGGCAATAGAGGGCAGTTGGTTAACAATTTATTGGATTCAGTTCGAAACATTTCAAAGAATTGTTCCCAATTGATTGGCAAAGCTAGCTCTTTTACAGCCAGTTTACTTGTATCAATCTCCTGCCTGCCAAGTAATTTTGACCTCAGTTCAGGAGAATATTTTTTCCCAAAGCTTGCAGCAATCCCACCAATGATTTTCTTATACACCCCCTCAGTATCTGTAACATCACATACCTGGCATTAGTTTAGCATTAGGCATTATATGTTGGTATTCAATATTCATCAGTCTCATAAATTCTTCTACAGGCACAGATAATTCCAAATGTTTAATGAGAAACTTGGCTGATTCCCTTCCAGTCATGCCCATTACACTTATTTTCATTTCATGAGTAAAAGTTTTGTTGAATTGGTTGAGCACATTTACAGAAGCTTCTGTGTACAAACATTCACTATCTAAAAGTATTAAATAACAATACAATTACACATTCAAATTTTAGCGCAAAATTTGTTATGTAACAAATTTAAGAGATGGCGCATATTTGTAAATGAACGTTGTGTATACATAACCTTAGCATGCAATGTATGCATTTTATAATTGTACTATAAACTTACCCAAAAGTAAGCCATCCATGTCAAAAATTACATGAGAAACCTTTTTGAATCCAGCTTTCGCATTATTAGTTACGCGACTCATTTTGTTTTTTTTGTGTTCTCTTTTTTAATCCAACACAGTACCTCCAAAACACACCAAATTCGTCTTCTAAATGTCAATTTCGACGTTATGATACCAAGATTTCTTTGAAGATTAGACTTTTTGACATAGATATGAAAAAGCGCACCCGATTTGATTAATCGAATTTAATAGCTGATTACATAACGTTTGTGCATTATAGATTTAATAGGTTATTGGTTTCTATATATAGAACGCAATGGTAGGTAATAAAAATTGAAAAGTACGTTTATTAACAGCTAGGATGTAATGTAAAGTTCTTTAATTAATTGAAAACAACAATAGTTAGGAAATATTTACAGATATATACATATATCCAGTAAAACTAATAGTACAATTATAATAAATACATAGAAGAATTATAAAATTTTAAATGCATTGAATTGAAGTTGGTGCAGTTGCCTATTTTAATTGAATGATAATGCTATTTAAGGTAAAAATGGGGGCGGCCGTAAAAAAAAAGTTAAAAATGCATAAGATTAATTTAATTTGTATTTAAATAATTATAGCAATTAACATCTTAATTAATTGACCTTTTCAAGAATAACAATAATTTTTATTTTATAATAATTTTCGACCTTGGTTGATTGACCTTTGGCTAACGTATTTGTATATCAAATATAATTTTATTTATTATTATTTAATAAATATTCATAAACAATATTATTATCAGCCCAATAGAAATATGTTGTTCAAAAGGATATATATATATATGCAGATATATATTTAATAATTCTGTAATATTTGTATATTTGCTTCGGTTATATTTCATTTCAGCTGACAGATAAAAAGTAAAAAAAATGTTGGAAAGGAATATATCATGCAACATTATTACCCAAATATGCAGAAAATTTAATTTGTTATAAATTTAAGAATATTTTTTTAGCCTTTAATTTTAAAATATTTTATTACAAAATATAATTAACACAAAATTCAACAATATCAACTGTATTATTCGAATTTTCAAACTAAATTTAATTATATTAATTTTCTGCGTAGAAGTTTGCAAATGCAATCATTATAACAATAATTAGTTTATTTTATGTATTTATTATATATAAATATAAGGAAACAAAAAGACCAGATTATTTAAAATGTTATCATTGGTCATTTATTTTACATTAGGAACATATAGTTGCCTATTTCATGGAAATACAAAATATTTATATATTTAGGGCGGTACGCATTAAATATATAAATATTTACTAATGTTGTTTATGTAGTTATGATTTGAAATCAATTTATCAATAAATAATAACAATTTATTTTGCTAAATATTCAGGAATTCGATACCCGCAACAGATAATTGCACATATATTGACATTATCGATTTTGTTTGATTATTGTTTATCAGGCGTAGTTACGTCGAAGGGAATCTTTTATACTTGTTTGTGCAAGTTTTGGACAGGAAACTGCAGTGGAATGTGGGTCCCAGGTGTATGGCAGGTGAATTTATGTATATGTGTACGTGCACCAGTGTCCGTTTGTGGTACGAAATGCATAACCAAAAATGTAGTCAACTTAAATACTTTATACAAGTTATTTAATATTAAATAAATTATGAAAAAATATTTGTTTTAATTAACAAATGAAATATGGATTTAAGTTAATGAAACAAATTATGTAATTTAAATACACATATTAACTATATTACCATTCAATAAGTTCCTTTATGTATAACAGTTTATAGATTTTTAATGTCACTAATATTCGTTGAAAATTTAATCATTTTTTAATTGAAAAGGAACCTATCGTTATAATAAGTAGCTTATGCCAATAACACAAGAATACATTCCGTTTACACCAATCCGAAACTTTACAAATGATGATTTCATTATAGATCTAAGATTCTCTAAGACCTGTATTTAAAATAATGCTTTCAATGAATGTTAATGAATTAATATCATAATAAATATAAAATATGAAGTAAGCATTATTATTGCGACAATAAAGTTTTATAAACAAATTGTATTAAAATTTTAAAATACATATAGTTGTGCAAAATCTATTATTAAGATTTAAAATTTTCTATTAGTGTATTTCAATAAATCTTATTATTTCATAGTCTAAATATTGTTATTTTTGTAAATAAATGTTACTGGTTTATTTAAATATATATTTTTATTGTAAGTTACAAATTACTCATTGATTTATGTTTAATTCATTTGAATATGTTAATATTGTTTTTCTTTGTTTGCAATGGTAGCTATCGCGGCAACAGTTCAAAAGTTTTCGGTGAGCAACCAAAGTCGTTAATTCGGGAATTGATAGGCGTTTAGTTATTGGTTATTGGGGGCGGAATGCGCATGACCAGTGGTTGCTACAAGCAAAGGGGGACGCAGAAGACAAGCAACGAACGAGAGTTCCACATTTCGAATTCAGTGTCGGACACGAGCGTTCATCTCGCTCGTCGCGCGTTCATAATTGCATTTTATTTTCATTTATCCCAAATAAAAGCACCCTCGATCCCCCCGTCGCGAATAAGATTGAATTACTAAACGGAGACGACCGAGAACAACAACATTCAAGATGAAATAGTACTCGACGTCGAGAATTTAGATTTATTTAATTTTTTGGGGACAGGGTACAAGAAATATTTCATATATAAAACAAAAATATTTTAAATTAAACAATAACTTTATTATTAACAAAGAGATACTATATATATACATATATTTATAAATTTTAAGAAGAGTAATTCTGAATTACACGAAATGGCTGTGATCGAAAATAGGTGCTTCAAATGTATACGATTGGTTAACGTACAGGGTGTTCTTTTTATTTTGTTATTCATCGCAAGCGCGATTAGTGCGACGCCCAATGGATGTGATAGCGCCAATCTCACCGCCAATGTGGATTGGCTCAAAGACATCACCCTGCCGGAGAAACCAGTTCAAGGTAAGAACAAACACAATATAACAATATCGATAATTCAAAATAGTCATGTCGCGCAACATTTGAGTCCTTTTTCTTTTAAAAGAACAGGAAATAGCATTTAACACCTCTCCCATTTTTGAGTGTGACTTCAACCCCCCAATGGGCGCACACAATAAAGCAGGCTACAAATTAATCTTCTCTTCTTTTTTTTCCCATCGTGGTAGAAGACACAGAGGTTGAGGATGGGGGGAGGGGAGACTGTGAGCTTAACATAACTTCTTTTTTCAAAACCTAACGCTCGACAAAATGTTCAGCATCTTCTTTATAATTGTGTAAATATTTGATTAGGCGCATTGAAAAAGGAGCCGACTTGAAGTATTGCTATACTCGTAAATTACATTTGTATAGGATGCTGATAACAATAATAAAAAAATCGTTATGTGCTGTTTGAATGGCTTGTTGAGTTGGGTCACGCGAGTGCACGCAATAAAGTTCATATATATGTACGTGTGCACGAGTGAAAAATCATTTGCTCTTTATGGGCCGTAAATTTATGAGACCAAGATTAAGCCAACCCCTCGATTCCAAGCGAAAAATAGAAATACATTGCAGGGATTATTAGGTAGAGCGAGCGCGGTTTTTAAATAGACTTGACAGTTGTTAAAGTGACATTCCGTGTAATGGCAACGTTGCCAATTGTCATAAGACGGTAATATTAATGCAATTAAGACTAATATTGAATATTTATTATTATTTGTAATTTATGCGTTAAAAGATATTGCTTTTCTATAACTAAAATTTAAACTTAAATATTATACAAACAAATCATTACATTCCTTGCTTTTCAAGAAGAATTGCATAAATGTTTTGAATGACTATAATGTTTATATTTCTAATTGATTTGAATATACATACACATGTCATGTTATTGTACTTATAATATATGTAGTTATATTAACTCAGATAAATATAGATAAAAAAAATATTAAGAATTATAAATTGAGCAAAAACATTTAATTCCAAGAAAACTTCTTTTTTGTGGTTTTGATGTTTTCACACTGTTTCACGATATTCGTACAATTTGAAAGTATATGTTTCTTTGTTTTATTCACAACAATTAATTGAAGAAGCAAATAAAATCGCAGGCTTCAAGATTCGTTTATATTTAAAATTAAAAATAGTTCATGTGGGGGTTTGCGTTTCTAAAACAGACGGGAAACATAGTTTGTAAACATTTATACCACATTTGCTTTCTCGAGAGCACGTGCAAATAAGATTTTCTTCGTCTATGTTAACAGTTTTGGTTTGATGATGAATGAAATGAAAAAAGAGGCGGTCAAGTAGGAGACGTCGTGCTCTAAATAAAATTTTCTCATTTTCTCTATATTTTTTAAATGCCTGCGTACACCCGTCGAGCAGAAAGAGGGTCCCTTCTCCTAATGACAGGTTTATGTATTTATAGGTGTCTAAAAGGTTCCAGCATTAATTGCTTGTTTTCCAGATTATTTTCCTCCTTTACCTGGCGCTTGATGTATATTCACCTTTTTTGTGTTTAGTTTCTTCTTCGTAATCGTGCTCTTTTTTTCAAAATGAAAACGAAACTTTTCTTTCTTGTTTCCGTCGGCCGCTTCGCATCGTCGAGCCCGAAATAAAACACGGTAGGGCTGTGAAAATCAATTGTTCGAACTGCTGCGGGCAGGGGAGCGACCAAACACCCTAACCATTCTCAAGACCCTACACGTCAGTTGCCACCCCTAATTCTACCTCGTATGTGTTATGTGTTGTGTATGGCGACTTCCGGAAACTCCCTTTTAGATTATGTTACGCTCCACAGATTTTCCCCTTTATTATTACACCTCAAACCCATCGACGATCAGTCGTCCACAAAATTCCAGTGCTGCGCCTCACGAGTAATCAAGATGTCATCAATATCAGTTTCCTGCACTGAAATTAGTTAGTTTAAACTTAAATAAGTTAACTGAAAAATATCCTCGGTTTTAATGGAGTAATTGCCGGCATTAATGTAACATGACTTTAAGGGAGTTCGTTTCATTGTTGGTTCGTTTAATTTCGTTTTTCCGAGACTACAGACTTCAACCATGTTACTATTTTCAAAGTTTTTTCTTTTAATAATATATTTAAGTGCAAAGTCCTTTGACGAGATTTTATATATTTAGATTTTTTGTTTTTTTGGGGTTTATGATTTTATATTGCAGTTTATGTTTTGTTATATTTATTTTTTTTTTAATTATACTGTTACCACGTTTGCAGGTCCTGCTTAATTGAAATTCGAATTTTTACTCGTATCATGGTTAAACAATTTTTTTTTCGGAATAATAGAATTTAGATTTCAATTGATATATGCACGTCATCGAATTTATGTCAGGAGAATTCCTTCAAACACGCGTTTAGAATATATTACACTTAATTCGAATTACTACATTTACCACGAAGATCAGCATACTTATAATTCCATAGTTCATTTGTTTATATTACAAACCATTTTGTTTTGTCTTATGTGTTGAATATCGATTTAATTTATTTAATAATACTATTTATTTTAGTAATGAATTGTATATTTGAATAATACAAATAGGTATTTATTTTTATAATAACAATAGTAAAAACAATAAACATGTCAATGGAATAATGATTTTGGTAACTCTGACAATTTCATAATATGCTAATTGATTTGCCTTTCAGTCGTTATGGTATATTTAATCGTATGCTTACGTTACATATTGAATAAGTAATAACCATTTCTTAAGTTATTTAAAAACCTTCGTCTATTGTGTTAATTTAATCATGGCCGGATACATACGCGCGAGCGGGAGCGTTTGAATAATATTCTATACGCATAATGAATCATTATATTTTTATTTATATATAATAGGTTGACATTTAGCTCTGGGTTTTAATTGAAATGAGTGGCGTTAGCAGACATACAAATAAATTGAACATACACTCCGGACTTGCGTTCTTAAAATCAACAAAATTATTTTAATTGCTATGTTCATGATCATTAACAATGATCTAATTAAGCCAGAAATGTGTATATTAAATCGCTTTATTGTTCCTAAATTATAGTTTCTATTAAACTTTCGAGAATAGTTTCAACGGACGTATGACAAAAAAGTGAAGCAATTTTAACTGTACAAAGAGCAGAATTACCGTTGAAAGTAAGCGGCAGTGCTGGCGAAGATCCAGAGCAAAGGAAAAGTAGATAGTAATATCTATTTGCCCGAATTTGATAGGAAAGCCAAACATATTTGTCTTACGTAAGGACGGAATCCTGCGACCGTTTCACAAGAAGCTAATAGCTTGTACTCACAGAAAAACAACAGAAAATTATGTAAAAGATCCTTCCGTGCAAGTTAACAGCTCTCATCCAGCAGTTGGTTAACGTCGGATCGCTAAAACAATAAGTTAATATCGTGTTGGTGTATAACGAAAAGTCAAACTGTATTAGACTGGTCTTACACAAGAAATAAAGTTCACGTGAATTTCAGATTACTCTCTGAATAACATATCTCTCACGGCCTTTAATTCATTTAAGAAATTTGTGAATGTTATTAATATTTGTTTTCTTTTTATTGTCTACTTTTATTATTTATTGCCCGTTCCATTCTTCCAAAAGCACGTATCTTATGTGAATCATATTAAAAAATGAATAAAGTGTAGCGTTTGCATGAAGTATAAACAGCGTTCCTCAAATATATAAAGACATTGGCTTCCTCAGGGAATGAATAAATAATTCGAATTGTTCGGAATATCCGATTTGCATAAACAGATACTGAATTATAAAATAAAACGAAACGAAGGAACGTTTATTTACGATTATTTTGGTTTCGAGAAGGCCGCACGATAATAAATAATTGTCCTTCATTTCTTACTCTTCGGCCATCTTCCCTTTGCTTTTTTTTATCCATGCAATTAAATTAAAAAATATTTTAAATGCCTGTTTAACTTGCGTTTCAATTTACATAATATAAAAAAGCAATATTATCACTTCCAGAATTGTTGTAGTACAACTATTCGTTGATCTCGGGGAGGAAGCTGATTTATAAAATAATGGTTAGGGTGAGTGTGATTGTGTATGTGTGTGAGCGTGTATAAGAGCTCCGACTAGCCAAGTGTTTTATCGATCGTTTTCCCCCCAACAGGATTTCTTAAAATGAAATATTTAGAGCCGGTCATGGAGGATAGAAACAGCATTTATTTGCAGCGCAAGTGCTTTTAAGAGCATGCAAGCGTATTTTCTTCATAATAGCTTCTATGCTTCACCAACGTTGAAAGTTTTATGGAATATTATTATGACTCGTTTACATAAAGCAATAAGAAATCGGTTTACCGCGTTTTCTTTTCATTTAAGTAGATAGATTTTTATTCAATTACAATACATTACAAATAAAATATTTTTGTATATAGAATTGATAAATATATTATTTCAAGCTCTACGACATATTTATTTCGTATTTAAAGAATTTCTTTTTTGGTTATTGTTTATAATTTTGCAATGAATATATTTAAAATACGTATTTATTTTTTTAGTTGACTTATTATTATGTTAATGTGGTGCATCAGTTCCCTTTGGAATGCTGTCTTCGTGGAGGTGTAAAAAACTGAAATTGGTGTAAAATGTGTAAGAAGTGGAAGATACACTCCGATGCACTAGCATATTAGAATGAAGATGAAAGAAATAGTGTATATGTGATAGAAAGAGACGATGGTGCATGGGATGCAGAAGGGCCGGGACGAGAGTATTGATTGATAACTGCTAATTATGTAGCGTTAAAATAGTCGCATTCTTGGGATATTCAGGGCCGCATTCTCTCCCACGATGTTCGGTCATCCACTTTGAAAAGGACGGAGACTGGCCGGGCAGGTAAAGGAGCAAAAGGACAGACAGAGATGGATAAGAAATATGCGAGAGATATCTTTTCAAGAGGCCGCTCTCTCGGAGGGCGTACATACACACTCGCAGAGCCGCATTTAGCCTCCTCTGTATAATACTACAGCAC